TACCTTTTGGGCTGGGGTTGTGGCTCAGTGATAGAGCACTTGCCTAGCATGTGTGAGGCACTGGGTTCAATTCTAAGCACCACATATAAATAAATAAAGTCCACTGACAACTAAAAAAAATATTATGCCTTCCATCAGGAAACACATATTTAGCACCATATTTATGAGATCCTCCTTTATTTTTCTGAGGGGAAGTGGTAGTAATGCATATCTAGGTAATGAGGGCTTATTAGACTAAATGGCCTGCAGTAGTCTTCTTTTTTTATCTTTATTTTAGTTTTATGTTTATTTTTATGTGGTGCTGAGGATCGAACCCAGGATCGAATATGTGTGAGGCAAGCACTCTACCATTGAGCTACAACCCCACCCCTGTACTAGTCGTCTTTATAATACACATCAAGGTCCATGTAGCTTAATTTATCTCATGTTTAAAGAAAGTATGGCTAATTTATCATGGAGGGAGAGTTTGGACTGAGAGTCATTAGATGTGAGTTCTCATCTGGTTCTTCTATGGATTAGCAGTGTGATCTCAAGCAAGGCATATCCAGAATTTCCAGTTCTCAAATTAAGTTGAATTAAAAACTATGAATATTGAGAGATCTTTCCGACCTGGGTCTCCATTCTATCAATGTTAGTATATATCTAACACTAAAAAGGTGGGTGGCCAGGCTTCTCAGGGTTATCTTCTTTGGAATTCCCTATTTTGAAAGTGTGTCCTGGTCAGATGGTGAAGAGAGGGGATGTACCTATGTACCCATATAGGTCTCAAAAATGTTGCTTTAAATCCAGGCAGGTGGGACTGGAATAAGACCTGGTTGCTCAGACTGAAAAGATTCAGGAATCTCAGCAATTGTTCAGATTTTTAGTAGGAAACTCCCTTGTCTATTGAAGGCTGGAACTGAAATGTTTTGAGCACTAATCCTTGATTTTGCCCTCAGATAGGTGTTTAACTATGTGATACTGCAGATTTCTCATCTCACAGCTATAGTGGTGTTGCAATGTCTTCCAACTCTGATGATTTGGATCATAATCCATTAAAATATGGAGCTCTTGCCTGACAAAATCTCCTGGTAGATTCTGGAGAGCATAACAATAGAGAAATCTTAGTGTCTACCTACAGATTACTTTTATAATTCAGGGCACAGATATTTATTGCAAATATTACTCAGCTTATTTTTTCCATGAGTCTATTAAATACCTTAGAGTCTATTAAGTACCTATAATTTTGACATTCCACAAAATTTTCATAATATTTCCAATTCCCAATGAATGATTTGTGAAGTAACTAAGTTTGACAATAATCCAGGAGGTTCCTGGAGTCTGCAAAGAATTTGGCCCATAATATTGGTCTTCTTATATAATAAGACAAGTCTACATGTCAGTTCTTAGCATCACTGAATTTGATAAGTAGATGTACAGACCTCTGGAGTTTGCTCAGTGTATTAGAATTTGCCCAGAAACACACCCTTCTCCCCTATTTCCCAAGCATGTTTATCAGGAAGTGGGGTATTTTGAAAAATATATCTAGATGCCAGGAGTTGTATAAACTCTAATTTTTATTCTATAAGTTTAAATCATTAAAAGAGAGTTCCTCATTCCTATAGTCTTTTTAATCAATGCAATCACTTACTTGTCTTTTAATCATCAAACTATACCCAGAAGTCAGGGCAGGCAAGAGTTACTTTAATTTATAGAAGTGACAAGCTTTAAGGCACTTCTCATGGTGAGTCACATGGTGAGTAACTAGCACAGCTAGGGTGAGAATTCAGGTCATCTAACTGCCAAGCATGAACTTTCTCAAGCCACGATATGGGTTCAGATAGCAGATCCAGGTGTCAATGCTGCCACTTTTAGTCACATGTACTTGAATTTTTCATTATACTGATTTGAGCTTCTGTTTTCTTAGTAATAACAAGCAAATGAGAATACTAGAGGTTTGTAACTAACAAGGTCATTCCAGAGATCAACAGGGAAAAGGCATGATGTTAGGTATTCAACTAGAAATTGCTAACTTGTAGAACAGTTATCACTGGTGTTATGGGGGCCTGCATAGAGGTTTTGGGAAGGAAATGAGTGACTCCTACCAGACAGGGTGAAGATAGTGTGCAAGTGGAGCAAAGCTCCAGGGGTTAACTGGATCTACACTAAGTGGATATATGAAAAGCTTCTGTGGATGTGTCAGTGAGACAAGGACCATGATTTGGCACCCTACCTTCCTTTGGAAGGTAGGGTGATTAGGAGGTAGGGAGAGAAGGTGAAGAGAATGCAGCCCTGTTTCCATGTGACACAACAATGAGGGAATTCCGGGAGGGTTCTAAAAACTGGCATTAACATATGATTATTGTGCCTAGAAAAGGGGAATCCCATTTGTTTCTAATTCAGAATCTTCTACATGATGGGCAGTATGGAGAGCATAGACACAAACAGGATGTGGTTCTTTTCTTCAAAATTGCACCACGTAGTAGGAGAAAAAGATGAAAATGTAGATGCTTTGAGAAAAAAGGAATATTAGATAATAATATCATATATACAACACACACATATATATACACATAATATACTAAAAACAACTTTAATAATAAGAAGAACTGAAAATCATCAAGTGTTAACAGGGGACAAGCCCTGTGTTGAGTGTGTTACATGTATCATCACATTTAATCCCTACAACAACCCAAGGAGATACCAATTTCCCTTATTTCCTGAGGACCAGTGTGTTCTGAGAACCTGTACAGGTCACATGACTGGAAAGGAAGGGGCTGAGATTCTAATTCCAGCCCAGGCTGTTTGGCTCTGGAGCTGAGATCCTCATCCTTTTATCATCCAGCACTTTATTTTACTTTCTTTTTTCTAGACTATTCTTTTTTTTTTAATTTCTTTTTTATTTCTTACATACATGACAATAGTGGAATGCATTACAATCATATTTTTCTATAGCACTTATGACCTTCCAATATGCTATGACACGAAATATTTTGTTTATCATTTGCTGGCTAAAGCGTAAGCTCTGCTAGAACAGGGGCATTTGTTTTGTTCACTGCAGCATCCTCAACAACTAGAATGGTGCCTGGAACATAGTATGTGCTTGATAATATCTGCTGGCTGGATAAATGAATAAATGCTAAGAGATCATTTTTTTCCTGTTGTCTCATCGTTAGAGAAAAAATTAGGTCAGGTGGAAATATTTAGGAGAGGGATGATATGCACTATAAAAAGGTAGATAGAAAGGAAGGTAAGAGAATGGAAAAAGTTATCCAGATAAAGAAGGATGGAAGAGCAGGTGGTTGGGTAGCAAATGGGAGGAACAGGGGTTGTACATGGGTCAGTGAAGGGGATGATGAGAGATTTACAGTCCACATTCCACTAGGCACTCAGCTCAGAAAGCTCTGAATTCACTCATGTGATGCTCTATTACATAGTTGAGGAATGGAATCTCCCCCACCCACCACTTGGCTCCTGACATGGTCTCCTATTGCTGGATTGCAGGATTCCCAGCACCCACCCCCACCTTGGTGAGCTGTGGGAATGTTGGCCAGCTTCAAATACTACTTCCTTTTGTACTGCAAATGGCTTGTCAGTCTGAACATAAGTCATTGTCTTTTACCCAGTATAGTACTGAGTAGACTTTCTTCCTAGGTTTCTACTTTGCTATGCAGAATAACCATATGATGGAAGTCATCAAGTTTTTTTCTAAGTTGCTGTTATTTTGTCTGAACTATTTATATTAGCAGACATACAAATGTCTGGGGTCATAGGCTGTGCAATGGGAAACTGTCTTCCTGAAACGTGTCTTGGTCATGGTAATGTGAGTGCCACAACTCTTCTAACCTTGCTTCAAAAGAACCGACAGTCTTTTCAACAAACGGTGCTAGGCAAACTGGATATCCATAGCATATCTCTCACCCTGTACAAAAACCAACTCAAAATGGATCAAAGACCTTCACAAACCACCTGAAATTTCCAAACTATTAGTGGAAAACACAGGGAATACACTACATGATAGAAGTATAGGCAATGATTTCCTGAGCAGAACTCCAATAGCTCAGGAAAAAAAAGTAAGAATCAACAAATGGGATGGGATTAACTAAAAAGCTTCTGCACAGCAAAGGAAACAATTGACAGTCCACAGAATGGGAGAAAATCTTTTCTAGCTCTTCATCTGACAGAGGATTAATATCCAGAATATATAAAGGACCAAAATATGGGACATCAAAGGAAGAAGAAATGCATTAAATAAATGGGCAAATGATCTGACAGACACTTCCAAAAGAAGCACAAGTAGCCAATAAATATATTTAAAAAATGCTCAACATATTTATCCATCAGGGAAAACTTCACTGAGATTCTATCTCGCTCCAGTAGAAGACTATTATCAAAAAAATACAAAAATAACAACTGTTGGAGAGGATGCAGGGAGAGAGGGTCAGTGACACAAGGTGGGTGGGGGTGTGTAAACTAGCATGTCCACTATGGAAAACAGTATGGAGGTTCCTCAAGAAATTAAGTATAGACCCACCATCTGATTCAGCTATACCATTGCTGGGTGAACAGCCAAAGGAAAAGACGTCAGCATACAAAGGATATACCTGCATACTTATCTTTATTATGGCATGATTCACTATAGTGAAGTTATGAATCAGCTTAGGTGCCTGCCAACAGATGAATGTATAGAGAAAATGAGGTTAATATATACGTGTGTGTGTATGTATGTGTATATGAAGGTACATATGTACATGTGTGTGTATACATATATACATGTGTGTTGAGAGCCACAGCCGAAGGGGCCCCAGCAAATTTCCAGCTGCCAGCTGATGATTGGCTCACAGCGGCCCCAGCAACTTCTAGCTACCAACTGGCTCCTCTGCGGTGATGCTCATTGGGCTGTTTCCCTGCCCTTTCAGACCACGGAGCTGCTCATTGGGGGACTTTTTTTTGGCTCCGCCCACGCAACCCAGCCAATTGGCCTCAAGAGCAGGAGGAGTGGGGGAGGTTGAGAGGCTTGTGGGAAGCCCATGGTGGCATCTGGGCTCTGAAGGTTTTCCTGAGGAGCTGTGTGGTGCCGTGTGTTCTAAAAATAAAGTTCGTTTCTTTTGACAAGTGGTTCCTGAATTGTGCCCAGCCAGACTGTGGCACATGTGTGTTCATAGACGTGTATATGTGTGTATACATATACACATATACACAATGGGATAGTATTCAACCATAAGAAAGAGTGAAACAATGTCATTTGCTGGAAAATAGAATAAGAGGTCATCAAGTTAAGCTAAATAAGCAAGACACAGAAAGGTAAGTATTATATGTTTTCTCTCTTATGTGGGAATAAAAATAAGTAAATAAAAATAACCCCAAAGCAGAAGAATAACTCCTAGGGAAGAAGAAGGGAACTGGGAGGAGGAGGGAGGGAGGATAAGAAAAAGGAGGGTAGTAGTGAAGGTGGGTATGATTAAAATATGAAACATTTGTAATGTTTTGAGCAACTAATGAATTTCTGATGTTTTTAAAAAAATATGATCCATGCACACATGGAAATGTCTCAGTAGAACCCACTAATTTATACAGTTAACATGAGTTAATATTTATAATAAAAATCAAGTTGTAAAAATTTCATTTATAGTATCATTGGAATATTATACATTCATGAATAAGTATAACTGAAGCCATCTAAAAATGTTAAATGAACAAAATACAATGAAAGTGGGGGGAAAAACAATGCTGGGCTGGATTCCAGATCTAGTGTATAAGTTTTTTCACTATGAAAAACAGTATGGAGGTTTCTCAAGAAACTAAGTACAGACCCACCATCTGATTCAGCTATACCACTATTTTTCACTCACTCCTATGATTCAGGAGAGTTGCATCTAAATTTTGGTTTACTCATTTGAAAATGAAGATGATATGGATGGGCTGGTAGTGGCCAGACAGTTTTAAAATTCATGTCAATTTTAATATTCCATTCTGTTAATATTTAAATTCTTTGGATCTCCTGAGCAATCCATTTCTTTTCAACAGGCTCAGTCAACGGAACTGCTTGCACCAGCTTTCAACATACAGTTTCTGCTATTTATTCATTCAACTACTCAGTAAGTATTCTTTGAACAGCTACATTGCCTGAGGAATTGCCCTAAATCTGATCTGGAAGAGACAATATGAGATATGACAAAACCCTTCCATTATCATGCAATTTAGTATCTGGTATTACAGAATTCAAAATAACAACAAAATAAAAACATAAGTCAGAAAGCGATTGAGGCTGTGTGTGGTGGCACACACCTGCAATCCTAGCTACTTGGGTGTCTGTGGAGGGAGGAGTGCAACCTGAGGCAACTTAGCAAGACTCTTGTCTCAAAAAAATATTTTAAAAATGGGACGGGGATGTAGGCTACCCTGGGCAACTTAGCAAGACTCTTGTCTCAAAAAATATTTCAAAAATGGGACGGGGATGTAGCTCTGTAGAAGAACACATATCTGGGTTTGATCCCCATTAATGGAGGGAAAACTAAAGGGATTGAGGAAGACATAAGAAAGGGATGGCAATGAGAAAGGGAGTCCACAGGAGAAGACTCTTTCCTCCAGGACTATTAGGGCAAAACCTTTTCCCAGGAAGGGAGATTTGAAGTGGGTCTTAAAGAATAGGACACAGCTGGTGGTGGGTGGTAAAGAGGATGGAATTCTGGGAATTCCAGAGAAGGTGAGTCAAGACAGGATGATGAAAGACTTATTGCTAAGGGAGTAGGGAGTGGGAAACAGAGTCTGTAGTCAGGCCACAGTGGGGCTAGAGTGTACTCTACCCTATCTAGATACTTCTTGATAGATAATACTATGTGTTTTGAACACTAAGTCACATTCCATTTTGTCTACAGTCTTCTGCCGAGTAAAATATCTACCCCAAGACATACTGACCATGCAGTACTAATCACAGGGTAGAACTTTCCAGATGAAACCTTGGATTAATTACTGCTGGAAGATAATGGAACAAGAATCCACATGAGGATGGCATGGTTACTTGTAAGTACACTTGCAAAACCAAAGCATATTTTGTTAGCTCCCCTATCCAAACCAAACCTAAATTGGATCCATTTGCAAAAAGGTAAAAACCTTCAGGGTATAAGAAAACATGAGCTGTTCTCTCTCCAGAGGTAACCTGTCTACTGGAGAGTCTGGAAGTGCTTGCAAGTGTACCGTTCTCACCAGGCAGTCCTCTGGCAGCTGTTCCTGATCCAAAATAAGTGAGAGGCTATAGAGTACAGCTTGTACTCTACATAGAGCTGCACATAAAGACCCAGGGGAGGGGAGGGTGAGAGGAGAGGCTGAGGGGGTGGAGAGAGGAAAGAAAGGCTAGGTATGATTATGTCACCAGGTATCCTTGGCAACCAGAAAACATCTTGTACATTCTGTTGAGAGTTCAGCAGCACATGGAAGGAAAACGTGCCCTACTTCTTTCTATCAACCTCAACAGCATGAGAACAGGACATCTCTAAGCCTTAGTCAAGGGAGGAGCTGAGATTTCCAAGGTCCCTAAATCTTAAGCATTTGGCAAAGATAGATAGATAGTTAAATAAATAAATAAATAAGACACACATAAGTTGGAGAGAGAGCAAGAGTGAGTGTGAGTCTGTATGTGTGTTTGAGTGTGTGTGTGTGTGTGTGTGTGTGTGTGTATGTAGGAGGTGTGTTTTTGTTTATGAGGAGGGGTACTGCAGTGTGGTGGTAAAAGAAGCTTCCATGGTACAGAAGTTCAGAAGGAGGTATTGTGAGGCTTTGAGGTTAACTAGTTCTGAAGGCAGCACCCAATCAACTCAAGGGTTGAGTGGATATCTTGCAAGATAAAGGCTCAACTCAAATCGCTCACACTTTGTAGAGTCAGGACACATGTGTTTGAAGTGTGAATCTAATGAACGCATCTTGCTATCATACTCAGCTTGTCAGGCCACAGGATTCTGGGAGATGAAAAGCAATAAAGTTTATCTGTCCTTGCTCCAAAAGATGAAAGTGTCATCTGGAAAACTTGCCTGTCCAGCCTGGGGTCTAGAATAGCTTTAGTTGACAGCCTCCCTTGCTGTCTTTGCCATAGATACCCAGAAAAATACAGGCAAGGCTTCCTTACACTGCTGAGGAGTTTGGGAAGCCCAATAACAATGATCATGTTTGGATGTCCACTACTGAGCATGCCAGTGGCCAAGCAATTACAACTAATTTACAGTTAATACTTGAATGGCACTTATAATGAACCAGGAACCATGCTAAGTAAGATATATGTATATACATGTGTATATATTTGCAGATGTATATATATATAGGCATATGTGTTAATGAGTATACATGAATATGTATGTATTTGTATACACACATACTAGAATTCTAATTTAATCCTTACACTGACTCTGTTATAGGAACTCTTAGTATCCTTGTTGTAGATAAGAATACTAAAACACACAAAAAAAGCAGCAGTTTGCCAAGACCTGCCATCTATGCTGTGGCAGAACTGCAATTTGAAATAACCCTGTTTAGGCTGGAAAAAAGGAGGCCAAATTGCCATGAATGAAGAAAAAATTTACTTTCACACACATGTGAGCTCCAGTATGAGCATGTATATATGTGCATGAGCGTACACACATGCATACACTCAGAGAAAGGCTGGGCTACTGCATCTATACAGAGATCAGACTGAGAACACAAAGGTGGCATAAATGGCCACCACTTATGACTTCACCATAAGACAAACACCAGGATATTACTAATTACCACTATAGCTTTGTTACGTGCTCGTGTAGTTCATAAAGAACTTCTAAAATCAGAAATGCACACAGAATGTGCACAGAGAATTCTGTTTATGGGGTAGCAAACCAGAAGCAGAAGTGATTAATGTCTTCTGTTAAGGATGCAGCTGCTCCTGGTGACTTAGGATGAATTTCTTCCAATCCATAATAGCAACTCAATTCTCAGATGTCCCCTGTCCCCTCATTCCCAGTACCACTACTCTCCCCCACATTAGGCTTCTAAAGCCTAGTACGTCATCATCACCTTTGCCTTTGATGGCTAAATTTATGGAGACTGCGAGGTTTCACTTTGGAACTCAAACGAAGCTAGATAAATGTGTTAAAGATGACACTGGACATAAGATCCTTAGAAATGATTCTTACAGAATTCAGAATAAGCACGTACACTGATTCCACATCTGTGGTGATGCAGCTGACATGCTATTCAGCAGGAAATAGCCACTCTCTCCTCTATGCCAGGTTCACAGTCTTGCATGTGACTCAAGGCAAGCCAGAGGTTTTTGAGGCCTGTACTAAGCCTAGCAGCTCAGAGCCTAACTCAAAGAAACACCTTCTAAACTCCAACCACAATTCCCAGACTCCTGGAAGGGGCTATCATTCTAGATCAGCACCATCCACACGATTCTCTGCAATAATGGAATACTTCTTCACTGTCTGGTGTGGTAGTCACAAGCAACATGTGAGTGAAATGTGGACTGAAATGAGTCTTAAGTGTGAAGGCTGAATTTCAAATTTTATTTACCTTTAATTAGTGGCTAGTGACTACCATATTGGGCAGATGTTTCTAGATCATCTAGACCAGTATCCTCATTTTATTCCCACCAGGTACCACCTCCTTCAAACCTGTCAGAAAAGGAGCGAATGTACTTTCAGAGCAAAACACAGGGCTACTTACTGCTGAGAAGTCTTACATCCAGTCTCACTGTAGTCACAATTATAATATGACCCTTGTGATTGTTATTCTGGCCCTCCTTCCACTTAAAAACACATTTCTGAGATGAAAGTGTGACACAAATAGATTGCTGTGAGTCAAATCATGACCATTAACCTCCTATTTCCCTCTTAAAATTAATGACTTTGGTAGTAGAGTATGCTTAAGATCAAATGGGTTTGCAAGCCGGCAACAGTAGCAACAAAAAAAGTCAGCCACAGAGATCAGACAGATATACACAGGCAAGAATATAAAAGTTTAAGACTGACAAATAACAGGATTGGCAAGTTGAAGACATAATTTGAGGATCACATGTTAAAAATAACTATTAATAGCATAATCTTTTTGGACTAATAAAAATCATGTTAAAACATCCCACTAGAATCTTTAACAACAGACCACTAGAATTCTACATCTTCCTTCTGTTATTGTCTGAATTTATTTTAACTTCAGTTGTTCTTCGTCTTTCTATTCTAAAGCAGTTATAGATTGTCATAAAATCCAAAAGTATTCTAGAGTCATGGGAATGTAAAAAAAACCTCAGCAAAACAAAACATTTTAATTTGTTTTACTTGTTCTTTTTTTATTAACATTTACAACATAGAAGTTGTGTTTGTTTTTTCCTACCCCCCGCCCCCAAATCTGTACCCAATAAAAAATGTTTCCAAACTGGGATGCCAAGTTTCCATCCAAATACCATTTTGTTTAATATCCCTGGGTGAACCCTCCCTAAAACAATGATTTGCACTGAAGCTTGGATGTACTTGCTTTTTCAAACAGCAAGATAAACCCACTGCAGCCCTCTGAGCCCCCAACCCTACACAGCATTAGGAAGGGATCCTTCAGAGGACAAAGGCCAAGTTCTGCACAGTCAGTGGCCTCTCTGTCTCTGGCACGAGGGATCAGAAGTTGCTTTCTGATCCTGAAAACATTTATTTTCATTTATTCCTTTGAGAAGGGCGGAGATGGGGGCTGAGGATAAGGCTCAGTGGTAAAGCACTTGACTAGCATGTGTGAGGCCCTGGGCTTGAACCCCCCAGCATCAGAAACAAAGAAAAAAGGAAAGATAAAAAAAGAAAAAGGAAGGCTGAGAAGTTTCACACCTCTTTGCCCTATTACCTTGATTGCTATCTTGGCTTCTTCCTCTGTGGCTCACATATTGGCAGGAATTCTAAATAGGGTTCTTGGAAGGAAGTAATTGAATCAGGAAATGTGCAAGTCTATCTCCAAAGAAAAAGCAATGTCATGCATCCCATGACCAGCCTTTTGTAAGGGACTGTTCCCCTCCCCAGAAAGTTACCCTAGTATAAAGTTTACAGTTTTCTGTATAAAAAAAAAAAAGACAAACAAAAACAAAACAAAAATCTATGAAGGGGGATTTACTTTGGAGGGATTTCATGCTGACATAAGAAAGAATTTCCTGTACATATGGTCCCCAATTTTAGACACAATGCATTCCTGGAAATTGTATCATAAAGCAGATCACCAGAAGGGAAAGCTGTGATTTTGCCTGCTTCTTTCATTCAACAAACATCTACTGAATGCCCACTGTGTCCCAGGCACAATGACAAGTTCTGCCCAGTTCCTATAAAAGGGCCTAAAAAATGATCCATGCACCTGAACCTGTAAGGTCACAAGAACAGAAATCAGAGCTTATGAGTCTGTGTCGAATGAGCAGAGTAGAATGAACAAGAGTAGAATCCTATAGTACCCTGAATGGTGACAGAGATGTCTTATTTCTGCCTTACTTTCTGCTAAGGTTGAATCTTGAAAGCCTCTAAAAGACCCCTGTGTTAAAGTCTTGGTGGTGCTATTTGGAGGTGGTGGAATTTTTCAGAGGTGGGTCTAGTGGGAGGCTTACAGGTCATTGGAGGTGTGCCCCCAAGTAGAAGTGTGGGTCTCTGGCCTTTCCACTTCCTCTCTTGCTTCCTAGTTACAAGATGAGCTAGTTACGCTCTCACCATGAAATGCTGCCTTGCCAAAGACCCCAAAGAAACAGAGCCAAGCCATCATGGACTGGAACCTCCAAAACCGTGAACCAGAATAAACCTTTTCTCTTAATAAGTGAACATTTCAAGCATTTTGTTATAGTGAGGGAAAGCTGACTAATATACTTCCCAAGCAGACTCCAAGCATCCTGTCAACATGTGCAATGTACCACTTGGCAACCCGTTATCCCCACAGAATTTCAGTGCTCTCATCAATATACTGCTCCTACTCTCTCTTCATCCTTTTCTCTTGGAGTTTATCTCAGATCCTTGTGAGGCCTCCAGTCTCCAAATCTAGGCTTTCTTCTC